GAGTTTTTCTTTTGCAGAAGGGGACGAGAGGGTCTTCGGGATTTACACAAATAGAGTTTTGTTTTAAAGAAAGATCACAGGAGACGGGATTATATCACTTTGCCTATTTGGAAGCAACCAAAAACCACCCCGGGGATTTGAAGGATGACTTTGAATCAGAGAAACGGATGTACAAAACAGACTTCCCACTTTGTTCTGTTACGGCCATTCTAAATTATACAAATAAGCTTCACCCAAGCAATAATGCTTTTTTTCCAGCGGCATATTAGTAACTTTACAGGTAGGAAAACAACTTGGTATACAAATGCTCCTTTGGGTCACAATACGTTGGGGGAAATGATGAAAAAAATATCAGCGGCCACAGAGTTGAGCATGCTGTACACTAACCACTGTGTGAGAGCAACCACTATAAAATCATTGAACAACGCTGGAATACCAACACGGATAATCATGAATTTATGTGGCCATCGGAATGAAGGGAGTATCAGGAGTTACTGTCGCGACAATTCTAGTGAACAAAAACGTCAGTATAGTGACATTTTAATGTCAAAAGTCTGTGTTCCTACCGTTGATGAGCGTGGTAGCAATTACCTTCCGATGGCACCCAGTTGCAGGGTAGTTCGGCCGTCAACATCAGGCATGGCTCAAGTACAGTGTCAGAGAAATATCTGCACAAGCTTAAGCTCAGTCGCCACAGAAAACCTGTTCAAAAACTGCAATTTCGGTAGCTCTGTATATGTGTATACTAACAGTTATATTTCTCCAAAACTAAACTAAAATCCTCGAAAACGCAACTTGAAAAATTTCAAACCGCCATGTTCAAATTTACCACTCTTAACAAATGTTAATATATTAATCTGCGATATTTATAATGTCGATTCATGTGTATATTTTTCCTGTTTTATATTTGTATAAATCTTTTCTATTTATTTTAGGTAATAAACTTGAACATTTGCAATTTTATAATAATCTGTTTTATCGTTTTTTCATGCCTGTGCAAACGTGTCTCAGAGTGATTTCTATTGAAAGAGGCCCCAGAATGTGGTTATTTATCCCTCCCCACACTTTGTTTCGGAAAGATGCCGTATTTCCATTAAATATTCAATGTTATCGTATTATAATGAGGTTATAAACGGTACGCTTGGGTATTTGGTA